ATAATTAATTTGTTAGCATCCTTTAATATAGCATTACTTCATGTGACACAAGCCTTCATTATTTATATGCAAACAGAGATTGATTTGCTGGTGACACAAAGCAACTTGTATTTAGCTTTCATGAAAATGATTGACATTAATGTAACAATAGTTTAGTTAGTACTAAATATAAAGTATCGCTAAAAATACTATAACTGAAGTCAAGATTCATAATAATACTTGAAGTTTTTGTCTCTAACTTTTCTGAAACATGTTTACAGACATTTCAAGTAGGTTCAAGGTTTCAAGGTTTTTTTATTTCCCAGAATGAGAATTTTATACTTTACATCTCTATTTTTAAAAAATTAACTGGGAGGAGCAGAAGAAAACAACCCAAAAGGGTTAAGAGAATATTTCTGCACCTTGAAACTATATAATACCTTCAAATAAGAACTTACAAGGGGGTTTTTCTATTATTGCCTTATTTCGCAGTACCTTTTAATGGGCTCCCTGTAATACCAGAGCTTACCATGATGCACATWATTTGGGATTTGTTAAGCATGATTTAAAGTAATAAAATACATAATACCTACACTCATATCCACTACTGTTTGAACTCTATACAGGTGTGTGATAATTACGTGGAAAACAGAGGATCTCAAAATCCAAACCTTGAGCAGCAGCATGGAAATTACAACATTATTAATGAAGCATCTCAAGATAGTACATTTGTTCAGTATTCATAGACTTGCAACTCTACTGAGACCTCAGGCAGTGATTGCAGTTGAGAGTGGGATTTGATTTGAAGACAAGCAGACTTAATTGGACACWGTATCCATAGACTTGGTACTCTACTGACAACCACAAGCAGTGCTTTCATTGAAACAAGATTTGAAAAGACRAGCAGACCTACTTTACTGACACCAACAAGTAGTGCTCTCATTTGAGATTAAGCTTTGTTCTGACACAAAGCAGACTTTGGACACAGTTATTGATATACCTGCTACTTTACTAATACTGCTCAGTCTTTGGACAATTAGTTCATTCACTTGGATGAACATTTTTATTTGGTGCAGGCCATCATATGGATTCAAAAAAACCACTGAGAAACCAAAAAAAATCTAGCAGTCACCACAGTCAGTTACAGTCTGCACCTCATACTAATTACCTTTTACGATACATTACAAAAATGAACTTCAATATATTCCTTTTGACAAACCTTATCAGTTATTAGAAGCCCTATGTAACAAACAGTGATGTATTCATGAAAAATAAGTGTTGTAGGAATGAGATCTGGGTAAACTTTGCATGCAAAAATGTTCCAAGGTTACACCCAATAACTTGTTTTCCTTTCAATGAAGTAATCAATTTTAGTGAGCTTAAGAAGTAAGGATGCTATGATTGCATTATGGATTATCTACATAAGTTTTATCGGTTTTTATACCGCTTACTGAATCTATGTGTCAATGGGGACCTTAACTTGGGCTCTTTCTTTTTGTAGTGTTCGTTGAAATCAAGTCTGAAGCTCAGGAAACGAAGATTGTCATCCTGGTGACTTGTAAGCATCATCAGAAATTGTTGCACCATGTCCTATAAGCAAGAAAAGCCAAATATTATAAGTCCCTCTTTGTTATTCAGGTTCATTGTTTTACTATCTCAAAGTAAAAAAAGTACAAGTTATGTTTTAAATTTGTCTCAGTCTTCTATACGTGTCTGACAGCAAAATGCCAACAAGTCTCGATCTACAGAAAATTATAAAACAGATACTTTGATCTTAGTTCACACAGGATGCTGAGAGAACATGCGAAAAGTTTAGGAAACCACAATATAAGAGTCGTTGAAAAGTCAAAAAAGTCTAAGATATTTCCCCCATCCCTTTCCTTTACTTGTAGTCACATTGCAATACTAACATTTAGTGACTATRTAACCACTATTCGGCCTCTATAAAAATTTTAACTACTATTTAACAACCAGTTGTGAGATCAGATATGTCAGAAAAATCTCTCCATCCCTTTACTATTAAGCAACTATCGTTGACTCTTAAAGCTCCAAGGTATGTTAATTTAATTCAATTTTATAAGTAAATGTAATGTTTTTGTTAAGCTTGCCTGTGCTATTTGCAGGCTCATGCATTCTATTAAAGTATAGTATTATATTTTATGAAATAAAAGAAAACTATATGCGGGCTTTGCCTCACTTCAGAGGYTGGTAAACAAAAGCAGAAATCAAAATTATAACAAAAAAAGCAACWGCTGGATTTGAGGCTAAGCATACATTGGAGTTTTAAGAGTTGTCAATACCCACTATTTTGCAACCAGATGTCAAAGTCCAAAAGAGGGTTTCAATTTCACTGTTGTCGGCATACCTGATAGGACTGGAACAGTACTCTCAGCTGTGCTCTAATATCAGGAACAATTTTATCCACAAAATGAACTGATTTTCTTCTTACTTCTTCCTCATCTTCCTCTGTCATTCCCCAGTCACCCTGTGAAAATTCAATAAAAACGTTCATTCATAGATATCCCTGTGCCTATTATTGCCCTAATTCACTATGATGTCACTGCTTGTTCATGTGGGGGATAGAATCGCCAAATCCAATAGACACTTCAACAAAATTTGCTCCTAGCGAAACAGTTGAATCTAAAATGGCCTGGTTTTCAGATATAATATGTGTTAATATGTACTAAAACATATTCTGAGCATTTGCTGGCTATTCTACTTCTCTTCATGGATTGATACAGTTTAAGAACAATTTTCAGTAAATTTGTGTTGATTTGACCCTGTCCGACGACCATGATCCTTTGCGTTGAAACAATAGATTGTTGAAGATTGTTTTGATGTGACGTCATAGTGAATTAGGGCAATTAAGGAAGCACRAGATGGTTTGGTTTGGGAATCAAGAATGGTGTAGTGACAATGCACTTGGCAATGCCTCTTTCAGTTATTTCAGGTTCTCTACCTCTGGAATCTCTGGATCTCCSTCACATATTTTTGAGTTCCAACTTGATTCGTGAGTTAGCAGTGCCCTGACTTAGATCAGCACAGAGTTGGAGGTGCCCTGCAGTTATTTCTAGGAAATTAAACCAGCTGAACGCAGGCTAACTTAGATTAGCCCAAAGGTTGTTTTACAATTCAATCTGAGTTAGTAGTACAGGATTTACAATGCTTCTCAATCATGAGCGAAATTGTACAATTTGCTGTCATGACGAAATAGGTTTCGATGGACGTCAATCAAGGTGTTTCCATGACATTCCATAGGCACGTGTCCTTAAAAGCTTTGTGTTTTCCAACCATTTTAAGGAAACTATTTGATTGGCGTCCACCAAAACTCTATTTTGTCTTGAGAGAAAATATTATGATTTTGCGCATGTGATTGAGAAGTGCTGTAATGATTAATTTATCTTTAATYATTGCTACCTTCTCAGTTTTTCTGTTGACAGATTCCTTCAGCTTCTGTCGGGACTGAACTTCTTCTTCTGCAGCAGTGTATAGGAAAGATTGTGCATTTTGGAATTGAACAATCAGATCAAAGATGGCTCGTAACTGGGTCAACATATTCTGAAGCAAGGAAATCAACAAAGGGTGTCAAATTTGAATTGAATAAGTCCTTTAATAGTGCACAGCCTCCTTATGAGAATCAAGGGTGGCAAGTGACAGTGCACATCTCACCCCTTGGGTCTTGGGTTTGATTCCTGTACTCAGCATCAMATGTCAGTGGAGTTTGTTAGGTCTCTCCCTTGGTTTAAGGGTTATTCTCCATGTTCTTGGTTTTTCTATCTCTACCTAGCAAGTTAATTCCTTTTTGGTCTGAGTCAGCTGTGCCCTGACTTTGATCAGCCCAGAGGTTGCTTCAATGTTTGGTCTGTCAGTCAGCTGTGCCCTGACTTTGATCAGCCCAGAGGTTGTTTCAGAATACGCACAAAATTTAGAGTGATATACTTGTGTGCAACAATTTGACAAGAGTATACTTACTCTTGATTCAGTATCTAACAAAGATCTAGAGATAACGTGGTCCAAGAATGTTTCATGTGCAGCTATAATATGATCTAAGTCACTGGCTTCTGATACTTGCTTCTTTAAGTCTGCCCAGCAACACTCTAAAACCTGCCAAGGTTGAAGTTATTACATGTAGAAAAAACATTATTCTTTATGAAAATACTTTAATCATAGTTGCATTGGACTGCTGAGATATTAAAGATTTGGGGGTTGCACAGAAAAAGGAAATTTAATATTCTGACTAGTATACCTTTGTAACAGAAACATTGTTATATAGTTGGAGATTTTGCTGACATAACCAACACTCTCATCGGTTGAAAGATGACCACTTGATACTAATTAAATTTAAATGTACTGTATCCCAACCGGGAAAAAAGTAACTTATTTCCTGTTTGGGAAACAAGTTGCATGTGACAAASTAGATGAACTCAGAACGTGAAAAAAGCTGGTTGCATGATATTTCACACGAATGACAAACAACAAAACAGGAGCAGGTATTTTGCTGGAATTTTCAATACAAATGGAGCCTGAAGCAAAAGGTCCAGTCTTTCTACATAGAAATTTGAACTGTCATTGAGAGAAAGGATTCATTAAATACAAAAAAGGCTAAAAAACTGTTGCTACTCGCTTTGCTTTTTGCTAGCAAAAAAACAAGACCGTATGTGAGTTGCATTATTTCGTCAGTATTCATGCATTTAAATAGATTACTAAATAAAGTTCTTATTTTGTAAAAAATGACTTTAATGTTTATCAATGCTACACAACAAAACACTTAATATCTGGTTCCTTGGGAAATTAGTRAGTTTTGTTTTCCCTCAAGACCAGATATTAAGTGTATAATAACTTGACCACTTTGTTTACCATAGCACAATTAATATATAAATAAGAAAGAGAGTGAAATACCATGTACCTCAAAGGCAATRTAATACTGCATCTGATGGATGAAATGGACCATTTCTATCCCTAACATGTGACACTGATGAAGGACAGGAACAAGCTCTGAAAGACAACAGTACAACATCAAATGCATGAAAATGAAGACATAGATGCAAGGATGGGGTGGATAGATGGATGGATGGATGGATAGATGGATGGATAGATGGATGGATAGATGGATGGATAGATGGATGGATAGATGGATGGATGGATGGATGGATAGATGGATGGATGGATTGGAAGATTGCATTACCTATTGGCAGAATAAATGGATGGATGTGTGGGGGTTGAATAGATGAATGGATAGAAAGGTGAGTAAATGGGAATAATTGGTGGATGGAAAGGAGGCAACAAAAGCTTTACCTGGTATGGTATTGACCAATCTATTGCTAACCATCTGGTTTCTCCAGATCCCAGTCAGACAATACTCCATTCTTTTGGCTCTCCACAAGAAATTGAAGATTCTTAGATAATGAATCATGCATTCTGGTGTGAAGACCTGTACAAAAACAATCATGGTAAACGGTTACTTTAACCCAGCCTTTTTACCGTATGACTTTAAATTGATGAGATTAAAAAGTGATGTCCAGGGCTTTTAGAATATTTTAGGATAGCCTATAAGTCTGAAGTGGCTGGATGTGATCTGATAAGAGGAACAGAAGGTATCTAGTATATAAAAGATGAAGTAGCTGGCAGTATTAACTTTGAAGCAATCACCRGAGTTCCAGYGGCTGTTGGCTCATTSTGAAAGCCCTAAATGTSATATTGATGTAAACTAGATTTCTTTGTCAAAACTCAGWGATGTTCCATTTAACAAATTGACATCAGATTTTTATGTGTCTGTCCTCTTATTGACAATGAATTGCGTCATCACATTGTCAAAGTAGTGTGGATCCACGAGGCGTAGACAAGGCGTAGCTGAGTGGATCTGCATACTACTTTGACAATGTGATGGTGAAATTCATTGTCAATAAGAGGACAGACACATAAAAATCTGATGTCAATTTGTTTTTTACAATAACAAAAACGATAAAAACTTTTCATTTTTAGCAATCAAAACAACCAACGGAAAGAGCGCGCGCTCGTTGACGTCAGCTTTATCTGTCTGTCCTCTTATTGATGATAAAAAAAAAACAATCAGCGCTCGAGACATTTGTAAGTTATTGTAAAAATAGTTTTAAGATATTATCTTACAGTGCTGATAGGCCCATCCACATGATAATCCAAACTGAACACATCCCAACCAGTATCACCAGGGGAGACCTAGACAAAAGACAAGGAAAACAAACTATTATTTAAAGAAAGGTGAAAGACTGAATGAATGATAGAATTTAGTAGGAAGGAAGGAGACAAAGAGAGGAGGAACAAAAGAAAAACAAATGAAGTAATGAAAAAATGAGCAAAAAAAGGAAGGAAGGAAGGAAGGAAGGATAGAAGGTGCAAGTTGTCTTCACCTTACCTCAAGCAATCTACAGTCAAGTCTTTTTAATATTTCAGGGTTTTCATACTGGGCATTAGTTGCTCTTATAGCTGCCTCTAGTACCCCCGTCAGGTTGTGCATGTATAGAGTGCTGGCTGGTTTGTCAAGGTCTGATCTAGAAAATAAATGAAATTACCACACAAATGYTAATTATCATGTAATTATCAAATTATATCAAAAAATATGGACTTCAAATGCATGCCATGCTAGGATTTAAAAAATTAGCCCAACCTCACCCTTCCTCTCAGCAGTTTTGCAGTTATACTGGTCCAGTCAAAGGCCACTTTAATTGAGTAGCAAGATCATACTTACTCAAGAAGGTCCATTAAATGACGAATGAAATCCCCCTGACCCAACAACATGTACAGCCTCAGAGCCTGAAGTAAATCAACAGACAAACATGCTAATACATTTATAATAATTCATAAAATAAATAATTTTTTCTCCAGACATAGTAAAATAAGGTCTATTGAGGTCTATCATCATTGAGATCTTAATGTAATGSCTTGAAAATAAAATGATTATTACTATAAGTAATAATTATTATTATTGAGTCCAAAACATTAAAACATTATGGATATTTACATTCAGTGAGGACACTCAAACTGTGAACACTTCAAGTTGTTTTTCAGATTATAAATTCCTCTGAAATGAAGCATTGAGCACAAATACAGYGAGTGATCAAAATGAAACTCATTTCTAATCATTCCATAATTGGCTCAAGGGAAAAATTACATGTACAGTATGCGGCGCCCAGTATGCATATKAAGAAAAGTGACAAAAAGTGTTCAGGGTTCAAGTGTCCTCACTGAAATAATGATGTCACAATTATCACCTTCAAATGATCCTGGAATTGGTACTTGGTGAAGAGTATTTCCAGTAATTTCTTGCTGGTATCTCTGTATGCTATGTCAATGGTTTCCTGTAATGCTGCACCCGTGAATTCTGCATCTGCTGTTAACTGTGCTGCAGCTGGAAAAAATCAAGGATAAAATAATGGCTGGTTAATGGTCAGACATAATGACGTTTCCACATTGGATTGATCAATATGTGACAAGCAAATGTGACCGGGCAAGCTAAAGGGCACTGTCCTAATAGGTGTTTGGTTGAACAAGTACCCATATTGGCTGGACATTGTAAGTTGACTAGCCATTATTTTTTAGTCTTGATTTTTGTGAAGGTACAGTAAGATATTGTCTAACTAACTACTATGATAACATGGGAAGAAAACAAATAAAGTTATTTACCAGCCTAAAGTCAGTAGGGAAAAACTGTACTTGAGTTGTGCAAGAGGTTACATGGCCTGTCAATAACCTTTCATATACTTAAATATGAAATTAATGCAGACTTAAATAAGGCCCAAGGTATCACATGATGCATTATTATTGTCTCAAGTTGAACTCACCAGCATTCTTTTCAGCCTTAGTCCTCTCGTGCACCTTGTCTTCATCCCTAATAATTGACCCACRGTCCTTACAAACATGTCTGATGAAGTTGATGGATTTGCCAATATTCAGGATTTTGGTAGCCAACTCAAGAGGAATAAATGATGGAAGCATTGGTTTCCTGATGCTGTATTTGTCGTACCATAATCTGTCATCACCAACAGTGTAGTCTACAGCTACAAAGAACTGTCAGAAAGAATCAATGAACACCAACAAATTACAACTTAATGAATCCCTCGTCCTTYGAATTTTATTGATACCCTGAAACAACCTGTTTAGTGACCAAAGTTGTTGATCTAAGTTGGGGCATGGCTAATTCRCAAATCAAACCCTAGTAGAACAACATCTGGAYTGATCAAAGTCAGGGCATGGCTAACTCAGTTAAAATTAGATTAAATTTARAGTGTTAGGTTCTGCGGAGGGAAGAAAACAGGAATTAATTACCCGACAGGCACAAAAAACCCAACTTCCATGCAATGCCAAGTTTGAAAATTGAAACTGTAAAGCAAGAGGTGAGAKGGAAGTGTAATACTTCTATACTCCCTTGTTTCTTAGCATCATCAACACTACCTTACCCTCTATTCACACCTTATGTTGCTCACCTCTTGATACTGATCTTCCAATTCTCCATCATAGATCCATCTGTCCATTATATTTCTAATAGGATGAGCAACCTGAAAAGAAAAAACACAGTGGAAGTCAGTGGTCCTAATATAAACCTTGTGGTACACCATACAAACGCATACAATACTTAAAAAAATATTTGTGACGAAGCATCTCAGATGCTCAGTTGTCTACCTAAGCTTTCAAGGGTCCCAAAATAGATTGCTGCTGTACTATACACCACCTAAAGACTCACCAGATTTAAAATGTGCTTGACCAGGGATTTTACAAATGGATCACCATGCTGCATGTATGTGTGTAGAGCCGACAGAAGTGCTCCACCTTTTTTCCCTGATAAATCAAGAGTGATATATATTGTTTAATTTACTCTTCTTTACAGACAACAAGAATGAACCTCACTATTTTTATTTTGCCAAAACATTTTTTTACACAAGACTGTTCAATATGGATAGAATGAGTGATAACAATCTTTATTGTGGGAAGCTCTTTCACAAAAGTGATTTACAAAGATGCCATAACATAATAAAACTAATTTAATAAATAAAGTATTAAATAAATATGAAAATAGGTTAAAAAGTTAAAAAAAGTTAGAAGTAATATAAAATAAGCATACAGAAATATGGAAAAATATAAATAAGTAAAATAGTTATTATTATAGCTATGTAGATATATATCTAACAAATATTATTTTATTGAAAATTCTAGGTTTATGTATATGTAATCTAATCAGAGTAATTTTCTAAATTCTTTGAAATTTGGGGCATTTCTTACAGAATTATCTATATTGTTTCATTCCTTCGCCGCATGAAATCTAAAATATTGTTTGCCCCAATTTGTGCAAACAGTAGGAAGATGTATGTCTGAACAGCRGTGAGTACAATAATTATGTATACATATTTATTTGTATAGGAAATCAGGCGAGTGCAATTAAAGAACTTTCAAAACATTATGAGTGTCTATGTGGACCGCGTAGCACTTGAAATAATGAAATACATGAAGATATAGAAATAAAGATAAGTCATAGTGCTTGGGAACGAGGTTATTCTGGGCAAAAGCCCTTGGAATTAAATTCGGAAAAATTAATTTCCGAGCTYGCTGGGAATCGAACCCACGACCTTCGGAATTGTACTACCAATGCTCTACCAGCTGAGCTAGAGGTCAGACTGAGAGCAGGCCAGGGTGAAATAGAGTGTCTATTAATTCCAAATTGTATGAGAAGATYGTGCGATTTTTTGTTTATAGTTCACTCAACAAAATTTCAGTAAAAAATGTGAAGCRATGCCGTTCATCTTTGTCTATTTGGSMGCYRATTTTCAGTCTATCGCGCAACTGAAATGCATAAAAAAGGTTAGTTCTTACGGCTTTAAAATTTTATTCATATGTTTTTTAAGTACTTGTAAAAYGATAGAAAATAATTGTTTTGCCATGTTTTGGCTGTGTTGCCATAGCGACTTAATTCGGTACTCCTACGGAGTACAATTAACGCTATAATTGTACTCCTCTCAACCAATCAGAGTCGAATAATTTTGTTGAGTGTACTATAATTTAAGAAATTGGAATCATAACCTATGTAATTATTAATATACTTAAAAACTACRATGCAACGATGGCGAATGCGACATTCACTTAAGGTAATCCAATTCAAACGTTCTTGACCTATATAGTAGCTGAGAAATATCTAGGAAGGCCTAATATACATCGACTGTAGCTGCATTATTTTGAAGGATTTGTAAATGTTGCATAAGAACCTCATTAAGAGAATGCTCAGGATTAAAATAAAACTGAGAATGAGATCATTTTGAAATTTTATTACTAAATGTGATTCCCAGTCACACGTGACCAACTTGACCTTCATCACAAATGAAAAATTGAGTTTGGGTGGACGTCAATCAAAAAGTTTTTTTATGACAGCAGAAAGGAATACTCATGTGAAAACACACATACACTGTATGTGCAAAAACCGCTTGTTGCCCACTTATCTCATGCTTCTTGTAACTCTGAATTTTTTGCTCAGGATATAATTTGTTAAAAAAGACACTGGATTCCAACTCCAAATTCTAATACCTTGACTGCAAAGCTATTRCTATTGACAATGATTTGAGTGTTTCAAGATCAGGTACAGGCTGCCATAGTCAATACCAATAGCTTTGCAGTCAAGCGTCTGAGATTTGGATTTGGAATCCTRTGCCATTCTTAAGAAACCCTTTTGATTGACATCCACCAAAACTCTATTTTTCATTTGTGAAGAAKGTCAAGCTGGTCGCGTGTGACTGGGAATTACAGTTATACCAACCTTTGCACGTATCAACCAGTGTTGCCAAGGTTCTTAGTCTGATGAGTGGGTCAAAAGTCCAAACCATAAGCCGCCGAAGAGTCAAACTCCCACTAGCTCCTTCTCCTTCAATCCCCTGGTCACTAAGCTGTTGTTGGCCTTCAAGTACAGCCATTAGGCGATAATACTCTGTTAATTCTTGCTGGAGGGCAGCGCAAAAGCTCTGTCCAACCAATCCCAAGGCTCTGTCACCTGTTCTTGCATCAAGATATTTCCGCACCTTTCTATACAGCCAACCTAGTTCTGCTAGCTTGTTGACAAGGTCACGCACTGACTTTGGRACACCAACTTTGGGGTCAATGCGATAGGCATCAGTTGCTTCGTCAAGTTTAATTATCTTGCCTTCAATACCTTGGAAGACATAGATTATTTCTCTAAGAAGAATGGCCTCAGATGCCTCAAAGGAAGCTGGAAAAAATAGAAAATAACAAATTAAAATAAGGGCTACTTTGACGAGTTCGACRATGTGACARCCATCTTGAATCTCAAGGCATTATGGGTCACCTAGGGGGCAAAACAAAACAAAGATGCTGAAATGACAACCCACAACATTTGAGAAATTTCGTCAGTTATTGTTATCATATTTGTGAAATTTCCTCACTCTATGTAAATATTATAACAAAGATTTGTATAGTTGCCCTCTTGATGACTCATAATGCCTTGTGATTCAATATGGCCACCACATGGTCGAAGAAGTCCATTGCTTCTGATCTGATATGGTGGTTTGTCCATCGAATAACTTGTTCCAWTTCAACTACTTTATCACTTGTTAGCAATTAAAAATTAAATCTCTAAGGAAAGGGTTTCTCTGTGCAGCATCTAGTATACATTTGTGCAAATGGGAATTGAAGAGACTTGGAAATTAGTATGAAATGAGAAAGCATCACACCTACGGTATATTGTTAGTTTGGGTCTATTATTAATTTATTCCTACACTCCATACATACTATTTTCTCCTGTGCCATAAYTCTGTAGTCTTGCCACAGCTTCAGGCCCAGGTATTCTTCCTACACTGTCAAATTCCTGCTGTCTTGATAAAGTAAGTGACTTTGCAACCATGGAGGACAAATGTGATGGTTCAGATCGATATGTATGGACATTATCTGCAAACCTTACTGATTGTGTACCAGTGTTTGGTAGGCGCTGTACAGAGATAGAAGGTGTCTGGGTGTCTGAGGAGAATGTTCTACTAGAYGGATCGCTGCTAATACCACTGCTGCTTTGGGAGTGAACTGTCGAATAGCCACCAGTGTTAAGAACTGGTCTTAATGCATTAGTTGCTGGGGTAGATGTGGAAGTGAGTGGTAATCCAAGGCCAAAAAAGACATCTGCATTCTGTAAAGAAATTTAGAGTCAACAAGAAAAAAACTAAAACCCCCAAATTCACTTCACAATATYTAATGTCACTCCCAGAAATCAYKCTAACTATTAAAACAAGGCATGAGTTCACCCTGTAGTCAGGGTCTAGTTAGTTTAGGTTTGCTCAAACTTAATAGTTCTTATCTTATATTCATTTTTGAAGGCTCRTAGGTTGAAAGATTCATCACAAAAAGTTCACTTCAGGAACATTAACAAAAAGCCCCATAGGAAACTACATGTACAAGCAAACGGATCAAGTCAAATTGAAGGTCTTCCTAAATTTTTCAACTGACTCATTCTCAAACAATAAATTTATAACAGGATTAGCTTCAAAACTCAACAAGACAAATAACCAATCAAAGTAGAAATTAATAGTGAAAAACATAAGGAAGATTGCTCATCTTACCAGATTAATTGAGCATTTAAATAGAGCGAACTACTTCAAATCCTTGGAATATCAACAAGCACAAGAAAAGCACAGGCAACCCAATCTCTGAAAAGTGCAACTAGTATCCACAAGTTCACCAAAGATTTAGYGCCAAATGAAATTTGCTTTTTCCCTACATCAACAAAATGCATTGTGGGTTTCCTTGGGTAGAAGAATCTAGAAAATGAGAGGGTATTGGCTTACCTGGCCTTGGGATGTGCCACTTTTTCTGTTGTCACTAATATTCAAGAGAAAGTAGAGAATAGCCCACTTGTTTTGAATTACACCCTGAAACATGAAGGGAAAAATTATTATATAATAGATATTTTAAATTTTGGGGTTGAGCTAAGAATTCAGCATGAGAGAACTGAAAAGTTTATGAATTTTAGTGAAACACTTAATCAGACATACCTGGGAACCTAGTTTTCTGTAAAGTTCTGAGAAAATAGCAGCATCAACTTCCTTGTTCTCTCTAACCACTAAAGAAAACAAAACATAGACAATGAGAAGGCAAAAAAATTATATTGAACCCCGAAATAATCTCTGGGCTTATCTAGGTCAAAGGGCAAAGCTAACTCAGAGTTTGAATTGGAAAACAGAGAGAAGAGAAGAGACCCAACAAACTCTGCTCACATTTGGTGTAGAGTCAGGACCACCCATGATTCCATACAGACATGGCATTGAGACATCATAAATCCCCCCCCCCCCCMRAAAMAAATTTACTGAGGGGAGAAGTTGTTCATTTTGATGATAAATATTGAAAAGAAAGTGTAAGGCTGCATTGCATGGCAGAGTGAGGATGAAATTTAGGGGGGATTAGAAAAAGTTTTACTAGTAAAATGGGGGGGGGGGGGGTTGTTTGAAAATTTTTTTCAGAGAATTAGGGGGGGGGGTGCAAATTTTTTAGAAGAAGCTACGAGAGATTACCCGGGGGGATAGTTTTTTTGGGGGGTTTTCAAGGGGGGATCTTAAGAATTTTTTTTGTCATTTAAATTTCACCTGCCCCCCTCTGCCATACATTATGAACGTGACCTAAGGATTTGTAAATAAAAATTGTCGACATAGAAAAACAACTCATATTTACTCACATTTTCTTTTAATCCTTTCAGCTATTCTGAATTCGTCATTGGCAACAGAAGGTGCAAAACGACTACAAAACATTGAATCGATATTTAAGATATTAGCTGAAGAATGATTTTATTTGGCTAGTTTTGTTGAGTTCAACTATATCGTTAAAAGTCAAGAGCAGGCACAACAGCAATATATAGTTGTGCCAATGAAATGCTAAGGCAATTAGCAGTTCGATATTGTTAAAGTTTGAGTACAATGTCCCACAAACAATATCAATACAGTACATATATCAAATATAAAAAATTACAAAACGAATATGGTACTTTTAAGTAAATACACTTAACGTACCTTCCAACTACACGAAGAGCATACTGATAGTGTTCTAATACACTAGGATCTAGAAACGGAATAACAAAAACTTTAAGCTTAAACTTATTTTTGTTTAATTAACCCTTTAATGAAGAAATTAACTAAATTTTCTAATTTTATTTATATATTTTTTACCTTGAGTTTTAGAGTCTTTTCCAATAATTTTACAGCACAGAGCGTACAGAAGGCCTGCTGGAGAGTTAGGGTCACTCTCACCCGACTCAACCATGCTGAAAAATTCTTAAATAAGAGTAAAAAGATTGTTTTTTAGTTATTTACCATCATCCTCTTAGCTGCGTACCGCCAAAACTCAAAATATTCTAAGCATAGTCTTAGCTTCGCATCAGCTATCCATACTATTCACGGGCTCAACTATTTTCCACAGGGAACCCAAGTAGAATGCATATCATACTGCCACATGCTCAAGGCATAAAAAAGTGAGACAGTGGATTGTAAAAAATGCTATATTTTAATTGTATTTTTCTTATCAAGCACAATTTTCACTGGTTTCATGGACTTTAAGACAGGGCTTTCTTTCATTTGCCCGAAGGGCTTCATTTTCAATTCTATCTTTCTTACGACACCCACTACACAAAAATCGCGACGTGTACTTTGCAATAGACTGCCGTCAATCAAAATCGTCGACATCATTTACACGCGTTTGGATTGGCCCGGATAGGCCCCTAGAGTGTGGCTCATAATAGAGAGTTTTAGATTTGCCTTCATGGCAAACGTGAAACGTCAGTTGACCAGTGAAAAATTGTTTCAAATAGCTGAGAAAGAATCGCAAAAAAGTTCAAGTAGTAGAAAAACAAACGAATATTTGTCTTTGGTGAGAAAGTCAGGGCTGTCAACCCCCGAGATATTCAAATCTGGAGAATTGATAGGGAAGGGACATGACGTCACAGCGCGTCAAAAAGCGCGCGAAAAGACGTCTTTCGCTTTGTAACATTTGATGTGATTGGTTTATTTCTGACCAATCAGATTATCGCTTATATAACAATGGCCTGCTTGCAAGAACAGTTTATGAGGAACGTTTTGATTTTGTTAGCGATTTAAAATAACACAAAATAATTGGAATTTTATGGTTGTGAAAGTCGGGTCTCAAGAAATGGTCAGCTTCGGGAATTATCCGGGAGATTTGAGACTCTAATCTGGAGACCGGGAGATACGCTCCAAAATCTGGAGACTCCCGGTTTATCCGGGAGAGTTGACAGCCCTGGAAAGTTTGCAAGAGGTTAAGTTAAATATAGGAAAACGATTAAAACGTGGTCACGTTTGCCGTTTGCGGGGGAAAAAACAATCTAAAACTCTCAAATACTTGTCAACAAACGACAAGTTTTGGCGCCTTTTGAATCACACACCAAGGGAGCACATTAAAATTTTGTTTGTGTAAGGAAAGTTATTGTTCTTGGTTGATCTATCTAGCGCGCGCAATCCATCATGTGACAGGCGTTCCTCGTAGTGTTTTGGTTTCGGCCGATCCGAATGGCTTACGATCATGTAAGGAAGGGAATAATCGTCGGTTTTCGGAGTAAATTCGCTAGCCCGACTAAAGCAAGGAACGCCTGACACTTTAATTACAAGAACTTTCAAAACATTACTCGTGTCCATTAATTTCCAAATTGTACTCGAGATCGTGCGATTTCCTATACTAATATATTAATTTCAAATTGTACGAGAAGATCGTGCGATTTTTTGTTTATAGTTCACTCAACAAAATTTCAGTAAAAAATGCGAAGCGACGCCGTTCATCTTTGTCTATTTGGCGGCCGATTTTCAGTTCATCGCGCAATGAAATGCATAAAAAAGATTAGTTCTTACGGCTTTAAAATTTTATTTATGTTTTTTAAGTACAAAATGATAGAAAGTAATTGTTTTGACATTGTTTTGGCCGTGTTGCCATAGCGACTTAATTCTGTACTCCTACGGAGTACAATTAACGCTATAATTGTACTCCTCTCGACCAATCACAGTCGAGTAATTTTGTTGAGTGTACTATAAAAACTATAACCAAAGTCATCAAATAATAAACTAAAACCCTGAGCAACTCAAGTTACAGGAGTTTTAGCACCGCAGGGCATATCTAGCGTCTTTCGTTTCTCCACCTGTTTTGTATCTCAATGCCACGTTGTAACATAGTATTTGTCTCACTTACCTTGTTGGCTCGTTCCATACCATAAAACATGGCTTCTACTATTTTTAGCCACTTCATCTTTAAAATACTTTCTAGATATGTGTTTCCAGTTGTTCTTCGCTGGTGATAATGTTGAAAAAATGCCATAATAAATATGAGCCTGCAATGAAGTATTCCAGAAATCTGGAAAAAAAGTCTTACCGGTGAGGCCACGCCAAAGCAGCGTGCCAAAGCGCGCCAAAACGCGCCAAAACGCGGCCGAAATGCTCTGGGCTCGAGATTATTGTTTACTGTGGTCATAGTTACCATTCCCTTGACCATACCCACGGTCAAGACGGCGACTGTTTCGAAAGTTTTTGCACATTACGTTGTCCCGAAATGTTTCACTAACTGCAGCCGTCAAGCATGATTGAGATGAATTAATTTTCTGTAGAGTTAGAGGTTTGGGAATCAGCTGTTCTTTGGCAAATTTCCGGCTGGATAGCATCTGTTACAAGGTAGCCTTACAAGAGCTAGAAACGACGAAGAGTGTGAAACAAGGCATATATATCTTAAATGGAAACTTTCACCYAAAGTCAAACAGACAATGATGCTGTAGGCGATGCTATAATTACTACAGATAAAGTGATGGATGATAAAAATAAAGTCCAAATGAAGGAAGGAAATTCAGAAGGGTTTAAAAAAGGAGATGAAGTTACGCAAATGAAAACTGATGAAAACCCCTTACAAGGGAATAACTCAAGCGAATTACCAGAATCAATAAATACACAAACAAAGCAGTCTGTTGARGACTTTCAAGAAGCGATGCAGCCTGAGGAAAACGAGAACAGAGAAAATCCCGAATTTCAGATGGAAGTAGATGCTTCACATAAAAATGTAGACAAAACTTTTGAAGAAAAACTTTTAGATGCACAAGAAATTTGTACTGTTAATATACAAGAAGAAAATGGAACCAAGAACACAATGGAAGATGCTGATGATAAAACAAAAACTGATGAGTAAGATTTTATTTGACTCACCCCTCTCCCCTCAAAATTGTTYTGAATGATATTCCAGAATGAACGAAATATCAAATATGGAGATCAGTAATGTTTTATATAGTTCTTGGCAATATCCATTACTTCCTTCTTGAAGATAAATATATATGTCCCATAAAAATCACTAGTACTCCTCAAACCCTTCCCACCCCTTAGAAATTTCAGTCCCCTTCTTGGGGGATGTATGGATATCTTCTTGGACTACACAATATCCCCCTTCTAAGACCCTCCCCATCCCTTGGAAATTCCCACCCGGTACACAAATATTTTTGAAACTAAACTATTAGTTTTTATATTTGATTTAAAGGGTGGTAATTCCAAGCATCCATTACAACTTTGATAAAACCCCACACCAGCTTACTGGTGCTTGGCAAGAGTTTGAAACAAAGCCTGAAAACTTCTTGAAAGGCTGTAAATGGTGAGTCAGTTGTTTCCTTTGAAAACTCAAAACTTCAAAACCATTGAGGRAATCAAGGGTGGGATACATTGTAGTAGTGCCTCCCATCTCTAGCATCTTAGGTTTGATTCTTGGGCTGGGCATCACATTTTCAGTGRAAAAAAMAAACAACAAACTTAATTCATGCTGAAACAGTAATGATAAAAGGGTAAATTATGCACTGTGAAAAGATGAAAAAACTGATGTTTTGGACGTTAGTCCTTTGTCGGAGTAAAAGAGAAAGAGGTGGTAGAAAGGAGTGTTTATATACTGAGAACAAGACAAAAGAAACCAATGAGAACAAGGTGGGCAAGGAAAGGAAAGAAACAAACAAAAGACAAAAGAGTGGACTAGTTAAAAGCAAAGCATTCATTAATCCCGTTGGGAGTAAGAGTGTCCAATAGGTGAATAAGCAGCATTGCTTTGGTCTTGTGACAATCATTGTTGCCGTTAATCAAAGAAAGACCGAAAACAAAGAAGTCAGAAAGAGAATGGTTAGCTAGATTAAAATGGCGGGAAACTGGTTTGGTAGGATCATTATTGTGAATATCATTAAGATGATTGCAAATGCGATCACCAAGATGGCRGCCAGTCTCGCCCAAATACGAAAAATTACAGCGAGTGAACCTCAACCTGGTCTGAGCTGCAAGTTCACAAGGGACTACTACGAAGATATGGCGGATATCTTGGATCGCAAGGCATTATGGGGCATTCAAGGGGCAAATAAAGCTTTTACAGTAATAACTTCAATAGACATTTACAGCTCACCACAAAAGAATACAACAAAAGAGGGCACATCAATCACCTTTAACCATAAAAGGTTGACAAACGCACAAAATTCTATAATTGTATTTTCTGTCATCTTTGTTTTATTTTACCCCATGGCATGATGGCGCCTTATCGTTGAAGTACTCCATCATGGTATGCCTCAGTTTTTCGAACTAAACCAATGCGGTGCAAACCAGTTCTAAGAACAGATGCATACTATTTGAGAACTGGCTGCTCAGAGGTCCACCTTATAGAAAGGACCCTAAGTTAGTCTGCATGTTAATCTCTTCTTTTACTCTTCTCTTCTAGGTCCCCCGATGGTTCCTGTCTTTTAACAAGCAGCGAAGACAACCATCTCAAGCTTTTCAACCTTCCCAATGAACTATACACTACACAATCACATGAAAATATCACAGAAATGGTAACAATGATAACAATAGTTGAAGAATGGGGACCACTAACTGAGCTTATGGTCATGTGTTTTTTCTTTAGAGTTCAGTTCTGAAAATGAAAGAAGGAGAGACAATCTATGACTTCTGTTGGTATCCATTCATGTCATCAATGGATCCTGACACTTGCTGGTAATACTGAAATATCTTTTTTTTTCTATTTTTGTGATGCTGCATCTTTGTAAAATGACTCTTTCTCTCATTAGTTTTCTCAGCACTAGCAGAGATCATCCAGTTCACCTCTGGGATGCATTCACTGGTGAACAAAGGGCTTCATACCAACCATATAATCACTTGGYATGTATTATAGATATTAGTTAATGTAATATACAGCGTACTACATGTAGTTTACTTTCTTATGCAGCCGTTCTTAGTGTCGGTCCAGGGGGTACTCTTGCCCGTTTAGGGTAGGGATGTGCTGCTGAGCCCTCTGAACCCTGACCCTGTTCCAGAGTAAAAT